TTTTTTTGCGGAACCGGGGATTGAACTCAGGTCCTTGCGCTTGCCAGGGAAGCACTTACTCCACTGAGCCATCTCCCCGGCCCCCAAAAGTAATATATTTAGAGTATTAGCTTTTCGTATACATGATTAACAATTTAAGTCACACATCAATCATTGTTTTTATTCTGTTTAAAATTCTTAGGAAAACACTACATAATATAATGTGCAGTTAGGAAAATGTCTGTTGTATAATAATAACCAAATATTTTTATTTTATTTTATTTATTTATTTGTTTTTGCGGTATGAGGGATTGAATGCAGGACCTTGCGCTTCCCAGTCAAGCGCTTATTCTACTGAGCTATCTCCTCGGCCCCCCAAATATTTCTAATGGGAAGAAAAATCTCATTTATAATAGTAACCAAATATCAGTAAGAAAATGTTAAAGACGTGAACAAGATTTATTTGAGGAAAGCTATGTAACTTAATATGTACATATATGATAAAGGTGGCATTTCTTTGTTTTGTTCTGAGATAGGATCTCACTGTGTAGTTCAGACTGGCCTTGAACTCACTGTGTAGCCTAGCTGGCCTGTAACTTACAGCAGTCTTCCAACCTCAACCTCCTGAATGCTGGGATTACAGGTGTGCATCACCATGACGAGCAGGGTGGCATTTCTGAGATACATATGTATATGGTGGTAAAAGTGGTGTTTCTTGGAACAGAATTACTAATTATTTAGAAAACATGAAGTTAAACACCAGATGGGGCTAGATAATTTTCAGGACAAGGGTCATATATGAAATTGCAGCTAGAAAAGGATGGGAAGAGAGAAGGGTTTTGTGTTGTTTTTTGTTTTTTTGGTTTTTTGAGTTTTTTGTTTTGTTTTGTTTTCAGACATGGTCTTGCTATGTAGTTCAGACTGGCTTTGAAATCACTATCCCAGTCTGGCCTGGAACTAGCAGCGATCCTCCTGCCTTAGAACTGGGAGTGCTGGGATTATAGATGTGTGTTGAGATTACACCTGTCTAGGAATGTAGTTTTATGACAATGAGAAGGGGGCCTAAACCCCAGAACTCAAATTCTTCATACATACCAAATTCTGAATGCAGAAAGATTACAAAAACTAAGTTGTAAGCAAAGTCTAAATATAATTATCAGACTTAGAAAAACTATAGGAATATTTGAGGTAAAACCTTAATAATCCTCACTAATTAAGAAAAATAGGGGCTGGGGAGATGGCTCAGTGGAATAAGTGCTGGCCTGGCAAATGTAAGGACCTGAGTTCAATCCCCAGTTCTGGGGAAAAAAAAAAAAAAGAAAAATATACCAGGGCTGGTAAGATAGCTCAGCGGACTAAGCACCTATTTAGGCAAGCACAAGGACTGGGGTTTGATTCTGGCACCACATGCCATGCCAGCCCCGCTCTGGGGTGTGCTGAGCCAGCAACAAGAGTCTGGGCATGGTGGCGTATGTACACACCTGTAATCCCAGCACTGGGGAGGCTGAAACAGGCTCAGTATGAGTCCAGGCTGCATAGTGAGACCCTGTACCAAATACATAAATTTAAAAGAAAGAAAAAAATACCACGGAATATACAGGAAAAAAAATGACAAAATACACATGTGGACAGTTCTAAGAGAAAATGTTGATGTGTACTCAGCTGAAAAAGAGGTTTCATGATTATCCATTAATTTTTTTTCCTGCAACACTAAGTTTATCTATCCAATCCTGGATAAAAACAAAAGAATTAGAATACAAAGGACACAAATCTTAAACAATCCACATCCTTTCTTGTGACTTTAAAAATCTGTCATATGGGGGCTGGGGAGATAGCTCAGTAGAATAATTGCTTGCCTGGCAAGTGCAAGGGCCTGGGTTCAATCCCCGGTTCTGCAAAAAAAATTTAAAAAAACAAAATTCTGTCATGTAAATTGAGAAAATAAGGGGGCTATTACATCTGAATGGACATGTAGTTCTTTTCAAATTATTTTAATAAGAGCATTGCTCTTTTGGAGTTTAAGATGTAAATCTTAGTAAGTATTTTAAGTTAGACACTTTTAAATTGAAAAATGGATAATTATGTGATGATTGGAAGAAATAGTTGTTTGTTTTCTTTTTACATATTTGGTACAGGGTCTCACTATGCAGCTTGGACTCATAGTGATTTTCCTGTCTCAACCTCCCCATCATTGGGATTATAGAGAAGACATGTGCCACCACACCCAGTCTGTGGTCCCCTCAGCATGCCCAGGGGCAAGGCCGGTATGGCCTGTGGTGCAGGATAGATCCCAGGTCCTGTACTTGCGTAAGCAGGCACTTAGTCCACTGAGTACTTGCTGGCCCAAAAAATAGAATTTAAAAGTATAAAATGTGTGTAGCATAGTGTTACATCTTTTTGAATGAAGATAAGTATATTTTACTTTTCACAGGACATTAAAGGACTTAGCAAGAAAAGAAAGATATATCCTGAAGATAAACCTTCTTCATCTGAGTCCTTGTCAGAATCAGATCATACTGAAGAGGTGAGTAAAAGAAGTGAAAGTTGTTGCATCTCAGAGTAAGTGTTGCATTTTTCTAGAAGATAACTGGTTGTTTTGATAATTAACTATTCCCCCACACTGTGGGAATAGTATCTTATTTTTGTAATAAAGTATTTTATTTTTCTAATGTTTTTCTGTCTTACTACCATTCTGATTACATGAATGAGTCTGTATGATTTAGGGAGCACATTGAAACTTGTATTTGCTTACATGGCCAGAGATGAAACATTGCACACATTGTGCAAATTGTTTTTGTTTTTGCTTTGAGTTACACTTTGGAGGATAGAAAGGTACCAAAAAATGTTGGCCTGACGTGGGTTTTTCTGCCTATAAAAACCAGGAGGACTATTAAAGTTACCTCTATAATCCCTGTCAAGTTTTGTACTCTGTTAGAAGTGAAACCCATTCTTGTACCAGGGATTGAACTCAGGCCCTTGCGCTTTCCAGGGAAGCGCTTATTCTTCTGAGCCATCTCCCCTGTGAAACCCATTCTTAATTTCAGGTCAGTAAGTTACCATCTTTGAAGTGTTTCTCTCTTGATTTGGTCTCTTTATCTGTTGAAAAGGAGCCTAGCATATTACTTGTAATGACTAAATGAGATAAGTCATAGAGGGCCTTCCGTAATACCCAGGACAGAGTAAAAAGTCCCCAAAGTTGGTGGAGCAGTAAACTCTAACCTGAGGTTGCGCTACAGTCATTGGTTTTTAAAGCTGCAGCTTTTGTAGAGGGCAACAGGTCCATCCCCAACAGGGTAGTCTACAGTGTTGAGGATCTGGCCTTCTATAACAGAGGAGCCTAGTGCCAGCTGATTTTCCTGATCCCATCTCCTTTCGGTGCCAGGGTCCTGCCTAGCTCTGTGTCTGCCCAGTCTCTCACTACCTACTCCCTGAGCTCTGCATTTCCAGCTGTGTGTGTCTTCTTTCTGACTGTATTATCAGACTGTGTTCTGTAATAGTGGCCCTTAACCCTATCAGGCCTGTTGCCCCCAGAGGGGGCAATAATTTTCAGCACTTCCTGAGATGAAATTCATTATTAGTATAAACTGCTGCACTAAGTTGTATATTGCAGTCTTCTAACAGAAATATAGAGAAAGTAAAAGGAAATAACATAATTTGATAAAATATATTTTGTTATATAAAACAAAATCTTAAGACAGAATGTAAGATGTAGCCTAGTACATTTATGTCCTTTGGAAACTACTCATCCGCATTGCTGCCAGTGACATTTTCCAGAATGGTGAACAAAATTTAGTAAAGGTCTTTTTTTTTTTTTTTTTTTTTTTTTTT